CAGAATGGGCAAAAAAGTGCTGAAATTGGCTTTATGCCACACTTTCAGCTCTGTGTCCAGCTTCACTTCCTTCCTAGCCTTGGCAGAGGATGGGGAACTCCATGACCTCCATGGCTGGTGACCTCTAAGGCCACACATTCCTCTCCTTCTGTCTCCATCAAGGAGCTCCCTCCTCATCCAGGTCCAGTCTCCTTACAAAAGGAGATTTCTTAGGAGCTTCCTCTCTGTTTCCTTTACTGGCACCCAGTGTCAGGGAAGACTTGACAGAGATACCTTTTGTTGGGAAAAGGTGCTGGAAAAAGGGACTCTGTGTGGGATTTTTGCCTTTATTCTTCACCATGAGAGTGGTGAGGCCCTGGCACAGGTTTTCCAGAGAAGCTGTGCCTCCCCTTGGATCCCTGGAAGTGCCCAAGGCCAGCCAGATTGGAGCAATTTGGTTTAGTGGAAGGTGCCCCTGTTCATGTCAGGGAGTGGAACTGGATGAGCTTTAAAGCCTTTTTCACAAACCATTTTGTGATTCCATGATTTGAGGCTGCACCTCAAGGTTTGCAATTTCCCTGGGTTGAGCAAGAGCCAAGCTTCACACCTGTAGTGCCTGAGGTTGGAAAGGGCTTTTCTTCAACAAGGACCCTGCTTCTTCCCTGGCTGCAGGAAGGGAGGTGGAAAAGGGATTTTAAGGCTGGCCAGGGTGAATGGTGGCATCTGCATGAGAAAGCATCCAGAGAAACTCAGTGCCAGAGTTGAGGGGATGGCTGGTGCTGATAACCAGGGCTGGGCTGGGATGTGGCCCAGTGAGGAACACAGGACAGGAGCCATCCCTGTCCAGCCCAGCAGCTGGGGGCTGATACAGTCCCTGTGCAGCTGAACCCCAGGGAGAGCAGTGCTCTGATAAGGGCAGGGAGCAGCCAGGTTCTGACATCTCCATCATCCTCCTGCCCTGGAGGTCAGCCAGCTCTTCCCACAGCATTCCTGACCCACACACATCTGCTCTGGATGTGCCCTGTCCTTCCTGAACATCCAGCATGGATGCAGAAAGCAATCCAGCAATCCCTTTCCCTCTGCTGGTGTAAATAAGGAGGAGAAGGGCTCACCACATCTTCTCCCAACCACACAATACCCTTGAGCCCTGTGAAACTCCTGCTCCCCAAAACTACTCTCAGACACATTTTTGTAGGAAATGAACTCCCTTCAGGTGGTTATTCCTTCTCTGTCCAAGACAGAATTTTTCTCTGCTGCCCTGGAGTGATCATAGAATCTCAAAATGGGTAATATTGAAGAGACCTCAGAAATACAAAATTTCTAAGGTTGGGAAGGACCTGCAAGACCATCAAGCACAGCAATCCCCAAGTGCCACATCTACACATTTCTGAACTTCCAGGGTCAGAAACAGGCTCAACCCATGCCACAGCCTCACAGGGAACAATTCCTTCCCCATATCCCATCTAACCCTGTCCTCTGGCAGTGGGAAGCCATCCCTCCTTGTCCTGCCACTACAAGTCTTGTCCAAAGTCCCTCTGGAGCACCCTTGGAGCCCCTTTAGGCACTGGAAGGGACTCTAAAGTCTCCCTGGAGCCTTCTCCTCTCCAGGCTGAAGAGGAGACTCTGAGGAGAATTGTAGGAGATCCAGTGGAAGGACCCAGGATCCTCAGCCCTCCCCATCTGCTGCCCTTCACATGACACCATCCACCTGCAGATAAATACCCCAGTGGGAGCAGGCAGGGATGGACCTGGCCAGGGACAGATAATGCTGGGATCACAGAAATGTGCCCTGGCCAGTTTCGGGTTACACATTAACAAGAGAAGGGGGACAGCAGTGGTGAAGGTGACGCTCAGCCAGGCAGGGAATTTCTAGAAGGACTGGACAGCCTCATCCTGACGCTCTCCTGGCAGCAGCAGCTCTCTGGGACCTGGGCACACCGAAACTTTTGCAATCAGAGCTTTCTCCATAAGGCCAGAGCAATTTGCAGCAGGATTTGTCAGTCTGGCAAGCTTATACCCCCAAGGAAGGTGTGGGAAATCAAATGGGGACTTATAAGAAAGATGGGGGCAAACTTTTAAGCAAGGCCTGCTGTGATAGTACAAGGGGTGATGGTTTTAAACTAAAAGAGAGGAGACTGAGTTTAGATCCGAGGTAGAAATTTCCATAGTAAGGGTGGGGAGGTTCTGGCACAGGTTTCCCAGAGAAGCTGTGGCTGCCCCTGGATCCCTGGACGTGTCCAGGGCCAGGCTGGATGGGGTTGGATGGGGTTTATCTCAGCAGAGAGGTCACATCCACTTCAAAGGACCGAGAAGCACCTGGATAGCCTTGGAAACACAGCCACACTGGGATGGGACAAAGGGCAGACACTGAGTCCTGCTCCAGATGTCCAGATGCTTCATGTTCACATCTGGTCACATGCAATCAACAAAAGAGCAGGAAAGCTGCCAGTTCCTGGAGGAAGACAAACCCACAAACCTGCCAAGCGTCCCTGCTCAGAGATATTTACACTTCCAACATGCTCTCATGGAAATTAATCCCAGTGTCACCCCTGCAGGTATGGTAAACATGTGAAGGGAGGAATGGGGAGAGGCCAGGACAGCGGAGCAAGGGGAACAAAGTTGTTTGGGTGTACCAGCCTTCCTGAAATGTGGTGGAACAGGCCCAAGCAGGACGTGGCAGGGCTGCTCGGGCTCCCTTCCAGCCCAGCTGGACCTTCAGCCCCCCGCAGCCATCCTGTGACTGATGCCATTCCCTGGGCTCCCCGACATCTCCCTCGAGATTTCCCCAGCCTGTTAAATTAAACAAGCCCCAAAGAGGGGTTTTTAATTCTGCTGGAGAAAGCCAAAGCATGCAAGAATCAAGGAATTCTGCATATGGGGGAAAATGCATCGTTCCCTGTGAAACTTGTTTTCCCCCATCCCTAGAATTCCGTGCTTCCTGCATGCTTTATGAATCTTGTCCTTCCCAACCCACGTATTTTCTTTCTTCTTTTTCTCTGTATTTTAATACTTCCTTATGTTTTTCTTTCCTGGCAAAAAGCAGTGAGCAATGCCAGCCGCTGAGGTGTCACCTGTCCCCTTGTCACCGTAGGAGCGGTGTGTTCCGCATCCCCATGGCACCCCCGCGTGGGGAAAGCCTGGAGCCTGCGCTTTCCTCTGCATGGAGGCCTTGAAGGAAGGCTGGAAACACCTTGCTCAGTGCCACCAGAAGCTTTGAAAGCCTGGAAGAAACACACAGAACAGAATTATGGATGTCAGATAATGCCATACTCAATTTCTGGCTTTACGTGCTCCTGGGAGCGGTTGGGAACATTATGGACATTATGGTTAATTATTCCAGATAATTTTGTACTTTCTTTATTTTTTATTTGTTATACTTTTATTAACTTTTTTTATTTTCTTTTTTTTTTCCATTATTTTATTCTTATCGATATATGATCTTTGATGAATTTTCCAATATAAATGAATTTATGATTCTACGTGCATGTGTCTCTCTCAATCATTATATCCACTAAGCTTTTTATTACTTATATATTAAATATAAAATAAATTCTTATATATTCATATATATCCACACACAATACAAAATAAATATTCCTATACAAAAGAGCTGGGGAGGAACTTTGGACAAGGGAGGGAAGGACAGGATAAGGGGGAATGGCTTTCCACTGACAGAGGAAATAGATGTGATATTGGAAAGGAATTCCTGGCTATGAGGGTGGTGAGGCCCTGGCACAGGGTGCCCAGAGAAGTTGTGGATCCCTGGAAGTGTCCAAGGCTGGGTTGGACACTGGGGCTTGGAGCAGCCTGGGCTAAAGGAAGGTGTCCCCACCCCCTGCAGGGATGGAATGAGATTTTTTTTTTTTGAAGGATGCTTCCAACTAAGCCATTCTGGGATTCTATGATATTCCTAATTATTCATATTTGCTACAATTAAATATCATACATTTCATATAAAAAGCTGACTTCCCCAGAGGAAGCTGCTGTTCTGCAGGAGAGACCCTTCCATGGTCTCTACTGGCGAGCAAACACTTCTGCCAGCAGCGCTCCTGCCAGCCCAGCGGGCAAAACCCGCGGTACCAGGGAGCAAACCCTTCTGCCAGCAGCGCTGCTGCCAGCCCGGCGGGCAAAACCCGCGGCTGGAGAAGCGGCTGTGCCAAGGCTCCGGCAGCAGAGCTGCCTCACGCATTAATCACGGGCCCAGCGCAGGTTCCAGCTCGCCAGATTCCGCTTGGAAGCGCATCCTGGCAGCCGAGAACCCTCCAACACATCGTGGGTTTGTGCTTGAAAAGGTTTAAACCCCTGCAGGGATTAAATTCAGATGTGAAGAATGAACAGGCCCGATGGGACAGCGCAGCAGCTGCTTGGGAGCCGGGATCCAACGAGTTGCCTTCGCCTGAGGATGGGAACCAAGGGAGCTCTGCTTCCTAAAGTTCCTCTCCAAATTTTGCTTTTATGGCTAAATTCTTCTTTATTTTCCTTTTATTTTTCTTCTGGATGAGGGAATAAGCTGCTGTTTTCAGCTGTGGTTTGTCACCATCAGCTGGAATCTGGCTTTTGGGGTTTCCAGCCTTGATGCCTCATCTCTGTTGGGGTTCCCTGAGAGGTGTGTATTGCTCTGGGGCTGTATTCTGCACCCTCCTTCATATGAAATGAAATGAAATGAAATGAAATGAAATGAAATGAAATGAAATGAAATGTAATAGAATGAAATAAAAATAAATGAAATTAAACAGAATTAAATTAAATGAAACAAGATAAAATAAAGGTCAATAAAATATAAAATAACTGGTCCAGTGGAAGGTGATTCTGCCAATGGCATGGGATGGAACTGGATGATCCATAAGAGTCCCTTCCAACTCAAACCATTCTGGAATTCCATGAGATTCAACTGCCTTTAGGTCCTGCAATCAGAAAGGAGAAATCAAGGGATAAAGGCTCAGCCTAAACTGGATTCCATTTATGCTGTGAAAACAAGTATTTTGATAAAATATACAACACTTAGACACTTACACTATTGACTTTTTGATAATCTTTATTTCACATCCATTTCTCACCTATTATCAGCACTATTATTAAGATGTGGAAGAGCCAAGGGGCAGCTTCAAGAGGCAGCTCCATCAGGATTTATCATCCCAAACGCAAAATCCTCCAGGATTCATGCTGAACCTGCAGCACTCCATGAGTCAGGCTTCAGGGAATCTGTGGTCAAACAGATAAAACGTAATTATTCATGGAAGAATGCAAGCAAATAGTGGAAAAACAACTGCATCATAAGGGAGGATGATACATCTGCGTGTAGGCCTGGTACCTAAAGTAATTCTCAGTCCAGCATGCAGAAGTCTGAGCATGATTTTTTAAAAACCTGGGCTAATGGAAGGTGTCCTTGCCCATGGCAGGGGTGTGGAACTGGATGAGCTTTAAGGTCCCTTTCAGCCCAAACAATTCCATGATTCCATGAATGGCTGCACACACAGATCCCATCCCCTTGCAGCCCTAAAAGGGAGATGAAATATATTCTACAGCATCTGCTGCTACACCAGGTCTCAGCAACCATTTCAAGTTTCCTGGGGAAAAAGAGTTAGGACTAATTAGCAGCACTAAATAAACTAATAGCTGGAGGGGGAAGCAGAATTCAAGTTGCATTTTAGTTTTGAAGGTGGTTAAAGCATCTTTAAAGGCAAGGGGTCATTTTCTGGGAGCTGGAGCAAAGCAGCTCATCAATAATTAAGGAGTTGGTGATAAAGCTGCGGCAGAAACGCTGGAGCACTTGGGAAAATACAATTATGGGAATTGCCTGACGCTCTGCAAACTGCCCTGGTAATTTGCTTAAGGGAAACAGCCAAATGCATGTTAATATTTCAAAGATTTCGTAGCAGCAGAACTAATAAGCAAAGGCCAGGAATTTCAGTGCTGCAGAGGGGGGTTAAAATCCAAAAGTACTTCTGATCAGGGGTGTTTAATTCACACCCAGCGAAACATGACAGAGCTGGGAGCATCAATTCTGCCTCCTGGCCTTTCTGCATCTGCAATGCTCAAGAGTTCAGCTTTGTTTTATTTTCCTCTGCTTAAAACCAACCCCGTGCAAAGGCTCGTGTCTGGGTGCTCTGCTTCCCAGAGTGCTGCCCTTGGGATGCACCAGGATCTGGGATTCTCCATCAAGGGATTCTCCAGCTGCTGTCAGGGGGTGATGCTCCCTCATGTGCTTCAGCTCAAGTCCAGCTCTTGCTGCCCAGCTTTGTTAGGGCAGCCTGGAAAGTGCTGGGGGGGAAGGGGATGGCTGCTTTGTGCCAGGGAGAACCCCAGATTTCCACCAGCTGTGTCCCACACACCAGTCCCGGTGTGTGCATCCTGCACTGGATCGTGCCTTGGAGGGCATTGCACCCTTCTGGGAACCTCCCTGTACCCCTGAGTACCCCAACAGCACCCAGACCACTCCCTGTGCATCCCCCTTCACTGCCCCATGCACAGCCCGCACCCTCCCTGTGCAAACACCTTCACCTTTGTGCAGCTCTTGTGCAAACCCCAAACCCTTTGTGTGCCCCCTTGTGCAAACCCCGAACCCTTTGTGTGCCCCCTTGTCCACCCCCTACACAGCCCTGCACCCTCATTGTGCCCCACCGTGCACCCCATACACACCCCATTGTGCACACCCCATAGCCCCATACACACCCCCTTGTGCACACCCTATAACCCCCATACACACCCCACTGTGCACACCCCATAGCCCCATACACACCCCCTTGTGCACACCCCACAGCCCCATACACACCCCACTGTGCACACCCCACAGCCCCATACACACCCCATTGTGCACACCCCATAGCCCCATACACACCCCATTGTGCACACCCCACAGCCCCATACACACCCCACTGTGCACACCCCATAGCCCCCATACACACCTCACTGTGCACACCCCACAGCCCCACACACACCCCATTGTGCACACCCCATAGCCCCCATACACACCCCCTTGTGCACACCCCACAGCCCCATAAACACCCCATTGTGCACACCCCATAGCCCCCATACACACCCCACTGTGCACACCCCACAGCCCCATGCACACCCCATTGTGCACACCCCATAGCCCCACACACACCCCATTGTGCACACCCCATAGCCCCATACACACCCCATTGTGCACACCCTATAACCCCCATGCACACCCCATTGTGCACACCCCACAGCCCCATACACACCCCATTGTGCACACCCCATAGCCCCATACACACCCCATTGTGCACACCCCACAGCCCCATACACACCCCACTGTGCACACCCCATAACCCCCATACACACCCCACTGTGCACACCCCATAGCCCCCATACACACCCCATTGTGCACACCCCACAGCCCCATATACACCCCAGTGTGCACACCCTATAACCCCCATACACACCCCACTGTGCACACCCCACAGCCCCATGCACACCCCCTTGTGCACACCCCAAAACCCCCGTCGTGTCCCCATTGCGCCCCCATGGCGCCCCCTCCCCTCAGGCCGCCGCCCCCGTGGCGCCCCCCCGCGGCCGCCGCGCGCCCCCGCAGCCCCCGCGCGCGCCGGGGGCGTTCCCGCCCCGCCCCTGCCCATGGCGGCCGCCGGGGGCGGTGCAGGCCCCGGGGCGGCCGCTGGGGGGCGCGCGCGGCCGCCGCGCGCCTCTCGCTGCGTCGGGTGTGGGTTTTTTTTTGTTGTTGTTTTATTTAATTTTTTTTTTGTTTTCTTTTTTCCCCTTTTTTTTTTTTTTTTCCCCCTCTTTCCTTCCTCCTTTTATTTCTCCCCCACCACATCTTTTCCCGAAGTCTCTCCCCGCTCTCCCTCCGTCGCCTCCTTCCCCTCGCCGCTCCCCAGCGCCGGGACGCGGCTCCGCTGCCCGTAAGGAAGAGGCGGCCTCCCCCCGCCGTCCCTCCCCGCCTCCCTCCCTTCCCTCCCCGCTCCTCCCGCCGACCGGGACTCGCCCCGAACCGGGAGGGAGACGGTCGCTCCCCGCTCCTCCTCCTGCTGCTGCTCCTCCTCCTGCAGCGGGGGCCGCATCCTGCTGCCGGGGGGAGGGAATTGATGTGGATGCCCAGCGCAGCACCAGCACCATGCAGCCGCCGCCGAGGAAGGTGGGACCCCCGCCCGGCGCGGGGGGCTGTGCGCGGAGGGGCCGGGGGGCGGCCGAGCGGTGGTTCCGGGGGGCTGCGGCGTGGGGCGGGGTGCTTTGGGCTGCGGGGGGATACGGGGGTCCGAGGCCGCGGGGAAGGGGCGCAGGGTGGGCTGTGCGGCGGGGGAGGCTGCGGGAAGGTTCGGAGAGGGAACGCGAGCGTTGGGAGGGGAGCGGGGGGCTCGGCGGCGAGCTGGGGGCCGGGGGGGCTTTGGCGAGGGTGGCCCTGCAAGGTGGGTCGTGGGGGGATGTCGGGGGGCGCTGGGGACCAGGCACGGAGGGGCGGGATGGGTTGGGAGCGAGCTGCGGAGGTAGGACAGGGCAGGGATGGGGACGCGCCGGTGAGGATGGAGGTGCAGGGGGGCTTGGGGACCCCCCTCTGCGGAACGGAGACGGAGGGCAGGGAGGGGGCGAGCGGCTGCGGAGGGCTCGGCTGCACGGAGGCGTGGAGGTCGTGCTGCCTGCGGGGTGATCCCACGGGAATTTTGGGGGCTCGTGCGGCGCGTTGGTGCCAGCAACGAGGGGTTGGTTGTCTTGGGGTAGGAGGTCACGTCTGGAGTTGATCCAGGGACGCAGCCTGTCCCGGCGTGTGCCAGGAGCACACAGGAGCAGGGGCAGCGGAATTGTGCAGCATTTCCACGCGCGTTCCCACGTGCGATGGGGAACAACCTGGAGATGCTCCGGGGAGGCTCTTCGGTGACCCTGCGGTCCCTGGCAATGTGGGGTGCTGCCCGGCGGGGGGACTGGTGTGGGAGCGGAGGCAAGCGGGAATGGAAATTTGGGATAGAGGATGTGCCCGCTGTGCCTTGTCTGGCTAGGCAGGTTGGTATCTGGGAGACCTGAGCTGCCTTGAGTTGCTCCGGGGTGATTTTTGGGCACGTTCTGGGGGTTGTGCGGAATGGTGGGGCTGTGGGGAGAAGGCAGAGCTGCAGAGGATGGAGAGGCTGCTGCTGTGCCTCTCTCAACCGTGGGGCTGAGACCTGTGCCTGTTCCATGTCCGCGGTCCTGCCCGCTTGGGGATGCTCTGGCTGTGATGGTTGCAGCCCCATGGAGATTTTCGGTGGGATTTCTCCGTGGGGAGAGGAGATCGCCCAGTTCTGCACCTGGCAAAGCCCTGCAACAGTGACCAGGAGAGGAGGGAGCATGAGCAGGATTCCCTTGTCATGCCCAGAGCTCCCCAGTAGCCCTGGCAGGCAGCTGCAGTGAAGGTCTCTCATTCCTGCCTCCCAGCCTCTTATTTTAGGAGCAGACTCTGATTTTCTCAAACAAAACCAATTTCAATTATTTCAATTTTAGTTTATTTATTTTACATGTGTGTCGTTCTTTGCCTGTACTATTTAATTTGAGATTATTTCCATTACCTGGCTTGTGTCGTGTGGGTTTATTTATTTTGAATAGGGCTTTTTTTTTAATATACAGATAAAATCAAAAATGCTGAAAGTTCACATTAAAAATAGACATTTTTTTCTGCTTGAATTCAGAGACATACATGTGATTTATTTTTCTGGTGTCATGTGAAAAACTTGTCTTTATGTGATGTGATTAAAGGGTGCTTGTTGCTGGGGCATGGTTTTCAGAGTTAAAATAGAGCAGCTGATGAGATTCAGGATTTCTTTTTTTTGCCTGGCTAGTGAAGAAGAGTGAGATGGGTGCCCTCTTCCTCTGTGAATTTCTCATCCCTCTGCAGTAATGGTTTGGCATTTCTGTCCTCATGAATTCATAATGTGTTCAGAGATATTTGTGATAATTTTTTAGGCCGATATGTGGATTCCCTGTGATCACTAGAGGGCTTAAATACCGAGACCTCTTGTTTAATAAAAAACAAGAACAAAACAATTCCAAGGTTACCTTCCAAAACCAAACCCTAATACCTGTGCCATTGGTGCTCCTTGCCAGTTACCAAGCAGGTTCCCAAAGTATTGGAATTTTGGCTGTGCAGGATCACAAGGCTCAAAGGAAAACTACAACAGTACTAAAATGTAAAGCCAGCCTTCTGAAGCCTTTCCCAGTTTGTTTGTTTGTTTTCTTATTGAAATGTGACTTAAACTACAGGACATATAAGTGATCCTTGGGCTTGTTTGTTTCTTTTCTTGTGGAAATGTGACTGGAACTGCAGAAAATATAAGTGGTCCTTGAATTTGTTTGGTTTTTTTTGTAGGTGAAAGTTACACAAGAGCTGAAAAACATTCAGGTTGAGCAGATGACAAAACTTCAGGCCAAGCATCAGGCAGAATGTGACCTACTGGAAGATATCAGGTAAGGCTACAGAAAATGTATCCAAAATTCCTTTAAGGTCCAGTTTTTGGAAGAACATTTGAGTTACAAAATTCAGGAACTGACGATGGAATTTCCTCTTTGGATTTCCTGCTTTTAGGCTGTTAAAGTTTTGACACAGCTGGAAATTATAACTGGAGCTAACACAATGCAAACCCTTTTTTTCTTCTCTTCAATGGGGGAAATGTTAAAAGACACTCACAAACAACATCCAAAAAGCACTGGTCTTTTCAGCAATATTTATTTATATAATATACTGAGACTTTGATTTACCAGTTGTAAAAGGCTGCTAAAATTACTAAAATATTTTAAAGCCACTGATAATTTATGTCTCTCTAGAGATAGCTTTGAAAAGCACTTTCAAGCAGATTGCATTTTTTACCAGAAAGTTACAAGAAGATATTCGCATTTGTAATTTAAAACTCTGAATGGGTTCAAAACAATAGAGAAAATCCACACAACATCAGTTGTGGGGGTTTTATTATTCCTTTTACCTAATATGATTTGATTCTCCTGAAATTAAAGGTTTGCTTTTAACAAAATATGGTGGGAGTGGGTACCTGGCATTATATGGAGGATTAATCATTCCATTTCCCGTAAAATATTCAGCAAAAGTCCATTGCTGCCCTCCTCTTTTTGGCAGTGGGTAGTCCACATGTTAATTATTTAAGTGAGATTTCCTGCTCGATGCTTGTGTATTAAATGCAAGTGTTTGGCTTTGACAGATGCAGTTCTATTTGTCTCACTGTCAGTGTCCTCCATAAATCAGAATGTCAAGGCTGGAGCCTTTTCTCCCCCTTGTGTTTTTGGGTGTTGAAACACTTTTTTTTTCCTATGGGAAAGATCACAGCATTCATTTCCTCAGATTAAGATTATTCTGGGGAGTGTGTAACATGCAAATGCTGAGTAATAAGTAACAGACTGATCCAAGGAATTTTCCTCCCTTAGATGGAAACTTATTTTTAGACCATCTAGGCTGGCTACTGCTGCTCTAGCCCAGGTTTTGTTAGCACTTGCTATTTTTCAGGAGCTTGTGATCACTTCAGTCTATATTCTGCTGTAAAATGTCGTAAACCTGTGGATACAATCCCAGGAAAACATGAAAATGCCAA